AAAAATGCCATACTCCAGAAGTGAGGTACAATACAGCATTAAAAAAAAAAAGGCAAGAGAAGAAGGACATCTGTGTTATGGGATAGATTTACATATATGGATACCAAGGTTGTCAGGAACAATTGTAATCATGAAACCAATGTGGAAGTCCAGCTTGAGAACCTCCTTTTTATGCAAGGAGAAATCAGAAAGATCAATTTAAGCTGATACGCAGCTTGCTGAAAACTGAAGTCCATAAGTACAATATTTTCCTCCTTTTGAGCATCCCTGGAGGTCACAATATCACAGAGCAAAAAACATCTCCACCTCTAGAGATGGTTCTAAAGGCCTGTGGGTACCCAAATTAAGCCTTTACTAAATCAGCATGTAAGAAATGACCAGGCTGAGCGAAGGCAGGATTAAGTAAGCAATCCCGGTGCAGCCCTTCATGAGAGATGAGGTTGGCTCTTCGCAAGTAGCTGACCAGCATTGAGCCTGTCTCCTCTCTGCCCTATGTGTCCTTGGATTGGGATGGGTATGGATTCTACCTCCTCCTCATTGCTAAAGAGTGGGAGCTGCTCCTGAAGTCTCCTGGCCAACTTGCTGCAGCTGTGGCTCACCACGTTCAGTCTCAGCCTGTTGCTCATCTGATCAACCCAGCTGAGGCTGCTCTGTCAGGCTAGCACTCTCCAAGCCCTGATCCAGGCCATCACTCAGCTCTGCTCTTTCCTCCACAGACTCAAATTCACCCTCCTCTTCTGAACCTATGTCCAGAGAGGGGCCCAGGAGCAGATTCATGACACCAAGACTTCCAGCTGCCTACCACAGAGATTCACCGGAAAGTCTGATAAGCTGAGAACATTCCTAGCCCAATGCAAAATATTCACTGGCAATTGACCAGGGGAGTTTCCAACAGACAGATCCATGATTTCCTTCATCCTCAGTCTTTTTATTGACTTTGCTTCCAAATGGGCACTTCCATTGAAACCAATGACCCCCATCTTGGATAATTTCCCAAACTTCCTCACTAGATTTAGAGAGCAATTTGGAGACCCTATTCAGATAAAAATATCACATTTACCAGCTTCACTAGGGCAACAACTCTGTGAGAGCATATTTTGAAGATGTATTGATTAAAATGAGCCAGTCTTAATAGCACAATTCAATAGCAGGCTAAACAAGAACATAATTACACAACCGATACAAGGTATTTCTTGTGGTCCACAAGACCTCTACTTAGCCACTATAACAGCTGAGTCTTGACTCACATAACTTAGAGCATTTTTTGGCAGCACTAGCCTGCTGCTTGCAAAGCTGCCTCCTCCTGTCACTACCACGAGCCTCCCTGACCCCTTGGATTTGGATGCTGAAGAGCCAATGCAAATCAGAGAGGTCACACAGTGCCCGAGGACAAAAGAACAGCAACAGTGCAGAGAGCTCACCCTTTGTTTCTGTTGCTGAGAGCCTGGCCACTTGATCAAGAATTACCCTAATAAAGCTCCCAGGAGAGGCAATATCGCCACTACTCACCACCTGGACAACAAGCCCTAAGGCCAGGGAAATGTGAAATGCTCCATGAGCACACAAGGGGAGCCACCCAAGCAATGAATGGAGCTCAATTATTAATGCAATCAGGTGCATTAATATAATTTGATTCTATCCTGAAACTTCCCTTTGGTAAGGAAACCACCATCCAGTTTTGATAAATTCTGAGGCAACTGTCGACTTCATAAGCCTAGTTATAGTCCAGAAACTTAAGATCTCCACTGTTCTTCTGAAATCTCTACTGCCAGTTATAACTATTTATGGCCAGATTTTAAAGGCAGGCCTCATCACTCACCCAACAGTGCTTTTTAAATTGACAATAAATCAAAATCCTTTAACCCTTTTTGTTGCTGACCACATCTATCTTCCATTGGTGCTGAGGACCACTTGGTTACAATGCAGTGATCTCACTATTAAGTGACAGAACCAGTCTATTGACTCCAACAGCCTTCAATGCTTTTCTCACTACAATTGGCCTGCCCCCTACCTGCTCCCCCTGAATCCTAACAGAACCCCCCCCCCCCAATCTGCTAAGTAAATACATGGGCTTTGCTGACGTTTTTGGAGAGGAAGAAGCTTCAGTCCTTGCTCTGCACAAAGACTGATTGTGTCATAAATCTAGTCCCTGCACCAAATGCCTGCCAAGAGACAATACCAAATATCTACTAAAGAATTAGAAACAGAATTAGGGCAAATTTGAATATACAGTGGTCCCCTACAAGCTTGTTAATGTAGGAGTTGTATTTTTCAGATTTATGAATCAAATATTCTCATAGATAAATTTGTGGTACTATATCTGGATGACATTTTGGTCTACTCTAAGGATAAGGCTCTGCACACAGTTACTTGGACTTTCATTTTTGCCTGCGCTTGGGTGGTGATTGGAACCGCTATTTGCCTGAAGAGGATGACTGTTTTAATTAACTCTTGCTTTGAACTATTGTATTGTGACAGTCTGGCTAGAGCATGGGTCAGCAACCTGCGGCTCTAGAGCCACATGTGGCTCTTTGAGCCTTCTCCTGCGGCTCCCAGCCTCCTCTGCCATTTGCAGAGAGAGAGACACAGAGACAGAGAGAGGCACTTCTTCTTCTTCTTCTTCTTCTTCTTCTTCTTCTTCTTCTTCTTCTTCTTCTTCTTCTTCTTCTTCTTCTTCTTCTTCTTCCTTCTTCTTCTTCTTCTTCTCCTTCTCCTTCTCCCTCCCTCCCTCCCTCTCTCTCTCTCTCTCTCAGAAGAGGACTGGCACACCAAGGGCAGGAGAGAGCCAGCCCAATAAGAATGTTGTCAGCTTGTCGGAGAACAACATGAAGCCAGCTTGCCAAGTGAGCAGAAGATCGGAGAGAGGGACAGAGGGGGAGAGAGAGGGAGGGAGACACACACACACACACACACACACACACACAGAGAGAGAGAGAGAGAGAGAGAGAGAACTCATGCACAGCAGCCTCTATTTCTTTTTAATTAAACTCTTCAATCAAGCTCTCCCCTTATATGTGTGCACGCGCATGCGCAAGTTTTACAATTCCCAGTGTTTTCTTTTCTCTGGGAAATGGGTCCAAGTGGCTCTTTGAGTGTTTAAGGTTGCTGACACCTGGGCTAGAGCATCTGCTAAGAAGTTCTTTCTCCTGGGAGATATCATAATGTGAAGTTAAATTAATTAAAGTACTGGGCCCACCAGGCCTATTTTGATGATAGTCTCAGGAGGGTTCTCAAGGTTTCTAAGTTCTTATGGTCAGTCCAGACTTCAAATGGAGTTTTCCCCTCTTCTAGGAAGTGCCTCAAAGTTAGAAGCAACCAGCATACAACTTAGGCTTCTTTCTCCCAAACTGCCCATCTCTGTTCTGTTTCATTTAATTTCTTAGAGGTGTAGGAGCATGGCTGTAGCACCCCTTGCTCATTTTCCCGAAGAAGTACTGTGCCTACTGTGACATTGCTAGCATCTGCCTGGATGATGAAGGGTACATTGGGATCCGAGTGTTTCAGCACTGGCTCCACCAAGAACAGCCACTTAAGTTTCTCATATGTAGCTTGGCATTCCATAAACCATTTAAGTGGCTGGCTGGGCTTGGGTTTTCCCTCCCCCTTTGTCTTTAGCAGGTTGGTGAATGAAGGAATGAATTGACAGTAAAAGTTCGCAAATCCCAGAAAACTCTGCAGATGCTTTCTAGCATGGGGAGGAGCCCACTCCAGCACTGCCCACACTTTCTCCAGGTCTGTTTTTATTCCCTCATGGGATATTCAATATCCCAGATAGTCAATCTTACTCTGGTGAAATTCACACCACCCCAACACCAGGATAAGACAGCCATGGCATCACTTAATTCTCCAGAGGTAGAAATATGTAAATGAGTATCATCAGTACATAGATGATATCTCAACCTATGCCAATGGATAGATGTCATCCCATGGCCTCAAATAGATGTTAAAAAGAAGAGCATAAAGCACCAAGCCCTCGGGCAGTCCACATAATAGGGGCTGAGGGCAGGACCTCTCCTCACCAACAACAGCAACAATCCCAACTGATCCTTGTAATTGTCCAAACAGTGCTAGATGGTGTAGTTTTTCCATATACTCCAGAAGCAGAACTTAATCTTAGAATGAACCAAAGGTTCAAACTGGTTTTGGTCCTAGAAGCCTTTTTAACATATATTTATACTTAAAATATATAATTTGCCTATGTTCGCTTAAGTCTGTGTGTGAAATGTTACCTACCTTTCATTGCTTTACTAAGCCCATCAAAACAACTTGGTTAAAGTACAAAAAATAATAGACCTCTGTTTGTCCTGTGCTGGTTTTCCTAGGACAGGGGTCTTCAAACTTGGCCATTTTCTGACTTGTGGACTTCAACTCCCAGAATTCCTCAGCCAGCGTGCCTGGCTAAGGAATTCTGGGAACTGAAGTCTACAAGTCATAAAAGGGCCAAGTTGGAAGACCCCTGCCCTGGGATATCTGGATCCTCATTTGCATTTGCTGAAGGCTTATTATGCTAAGGTTCAACAGATGCAAAGAGAAAATGGGAAAAGCAAAGCGAGTTTCCTGTCATGTACTTTAGCTCCATCAAACCCTTAAAAAAAAAAAGAATAGTTAGGTAAATATTAGATATCTAAAATTTCTGTGCACCAAGATTCAGTCAAAAAAGTCAGTCATGTGGGTATAAAGCCCTGCATTTTATGCATCACAAATTCCACATGTCCAATCCATGTAAAATGGGTGGAGTTTTGATTACATGATTGTGGATGCCATCTTGACGTTTTGAACACATCTGCAGACATTCCTGCCCAGATTCATCCAGGCAACTTCAATTTGCGGGGTTTCTAGTGTTGAATTACAAATAGCCAATATTATATTCCTCCCTGGCCATGGAACTTTATTGATACTTTAGGTTATTGTACTGGTTTCATATATATGTACAGCTATATATATATTCCAATTATTTTACTTAGAGTCCTGCTCCCTTTGCATAAAGATTACACAAATTCTTTGTGAACAGCATGTCTTTATTTTTATTTTCTGAACATTTTTCTTGTTGAATGCATTCTGCACAAAAATACAATTTAGCAGGTACTTCAATGCCATGCAGTAAAATTACTGAAGGAACAAACAACAAAACAGACCAAATCATGCATAGTTCAGACATGAAAGATAGATATCATTGTGGCAGAAAATCTTTCAATTTATTATGTAAACTACAAAATGGATTTATCCCCCCCCCATTCCCTAATGATACCAGTTCATCAGTTTCTATCTCATTCCACTAATCCTCAGTTCAAGCAATCAAAATTTCATCCCTCTTCCCTGAGATATAAGCATGTTCCATGTGCTTCTTTTCAGCTGTATCAGAACTGAAATAACATCTGTTCTAGCTTTGGCATGCAGAATCAGTCCTCCTCCTCAAAAACAGCTACTGCATAATGTCCAGCTGGAATGTACACAGCAGTTTCTACCTCTCCTCCACCCTTGCTTTGCTTCTGGAAATGGATCTCCAGAGCTTCACACATCAGCTCCCTCCCTAAGACATCTGGAATCTCTGTCAGCAGGACGGTACGAGCGCAGAAAGAAGGATGGAGCTGAGGTGGAGAGAAAAAATGGAGGTTGGTGAACAAGTGCAACAGTTAAAGATAAATATAAAGCCAAGAACAAGTTGTTAAAACAAAAACAAGATTCAAAAGATTTTGGTTTATGGATTGGCTTGTCACTGTCCTCTCCTTTACATTGTTTTTTTTTTTTTATATGAGAGGTTGAATATCCAATTCATATGCATGACAGGCCCATTCTACAGTATTTCTAATGGATCACAGAATGTCTTTTAAATTCTTCAACTAGCATCACTATGGAAAGATACCTATCACATTTGCATTACACAATTAAATGTATGGGTCTTATGGAATCATTTTTGCTCAACTTTAGAAAAGAATTTTAAGCTGAGCTAAGGGAAACCTTTTCTTCTCCTTTATATACCATTTTCTGTGGAATTATTGCTGCTATAATGTATCTGAATTTTGGTGTTGAGAAGGAAAATCTCTCTCAAATTAGGGCCAGAGATGGCTATTGTTTAGGGCAGAGTTTCAGTTGTGAAGTTGCACCTGCTTTCTTGTAGCTTTTGACCCTTTTGACTCTAGAGAAACTCATGCCCCCAAAGTTGATGTGGCTCCCAGAAATATTCAAACATTTGATGCCAGGTTTTAATTTTTACAATGAGAGAGAAAGAAAATGATTCAATATATGACTGGCAAGTAATCTTGTGAAGGCTATATATTTTGAATTAAAGTTAAACATAAATGAAACTAAATTTCCTTCTGCCCCACCCATTACTTTTGGAAAACAGTTACCCTCATCACTGTAACTTTTGGATGGGGGAGCATAGTTTGCTTTGTTGTTGTTGTTAATTGCAAAGTCGTGTCCGACCCATCGCGACCCCATGGACACTTTCCTCCAGGCCTTCCTATCCTCTACTATCTTCTGGAGTCCATTTAAGTTCTCACCTAGTGCTTCAGTGACTCCATCCAGCCATCTCATTCTCTGTCGTCCCCTTCTTCTATTGCCCTCAATCTTTCCCGGCATTAGGCCCTTCTCCAGTGAGTCCTTCCTTCTCATTAGGTGGCCAAAGTATTTGAATTTCAACTTCAGGATCTGGCCTTCTAAAGAACAGTCAGGGTTGATCTCCTCTAGGACTGACCGGTTTGATCACCTTGTAGTCCAGGGGACTCACAGGAGTCTTCTCCAGCACCATAGTTCAAAGGCGCTCAGCCTTTCTTATGGTCCAACTTTCAAAGCCATACATTGCAACTGGGAAAACCATGGCCTTGACTATATGTACTTTTGTTGGCAGGGTGATGTCTCTGCTTTTTAGTATGCTTTCTAGATTTGCATAGCTTTCTTCCCCAGAAGCTTGCTTTAGGAGAGGAGAATGCAGTGTGTCTCTGTCAATGTTTTCCCCTCACCTGTAAATCTGCAATTTCCCCATGTAAGCAATGTGATGCCTTGATCTGATGGGTCACCTTTCCAAGCGGCACCTGGAACAGCCCTTTTTCAACAATCCGCTGAGCCACTATAAGAGAGGAAAAAGCCTGTGTTTGAAATCTGTAACAGGACCTGTTCCCCATATATTTGTACTGGTGCAAGACGAAGCACATTCTACAGATAACAAAGCACAATGCTGCTGGGTTTATTTCAGTTTTGTGCCCACCTCTTTCCACTTAGAAGGAAAATAAATCTGCTTGCATGGAGAAGTAAAGCAGAAAGAAAAATGGAAAAACATGCTAAAAAAACCTAAATGCTTATGGGATGTTCAAACAAAAATGCTGAAATTAAAAAGGTTTCAAGAATTACTAAACATTGTAATGTTAAAAAAAAAGATAAAATTAGAAATACTCCAGTTCAACTGTCTCATGAAGAAGATCAACCAAACAAATTTTTAAAAGTATTAAACTTAAGAGACATTGAATAAGATGGAGTGTAGTGAGCAAGGGAAAAGTTAATAAAATACAAGGAATGAGATTTAAAGTGAGGAAATGGAAGTCATTCTCATACTAAACAATACAACACTGCAGAACTACATGTAGTCCTTGTTTAGCAATTACCTTGTTTAATGACCATTCAAAATTACTATGGTGGTGAAAAAGTAATTTTATCACCAGGTCCTGCATTTAAAACTAAAGAAGCTCTGTAAAGAAAAGGAAAACTGAAGTAAGATCATAAGCACAGTGGTGGTTTCACTTACGACAAAGCTGCCAGTGATCGCTAAACAAAGACTATGTGTAATTACTATAGGATAATGCAGGGGCTGCAGTACCAGTGATTGTTTAAAAAAAGGGTTATGATAAAGATACAGAGAGAATCTATTGATGGCTCAAGACTCCGAAGCTAGAAAATTTCCTGTTCCACGCTCTAACCAAGAGTGGAACAGGATCTTACAATTCTCAATCTGCCCTTGTGTGCTTCATTGGAAGTGTCTTAGGAGAATCATTGTTAAATCCAGGAGATGATATAAGCATGAGACTCTCAGTTTGTGGAAGGAATATTACTCTCCCCAAGACACATGATGCACATAATCTCCCTTTTATCATATTTTCTCTTACCTCCATCATCCACAAAAGTCAGCACTATATTATCTGAATTTGTGAGTTGTTCCCAATGATCCACTTCACCCCCTTGGTTCTTCCGTTTGCTGAAAAACAGAGCTAGCTTGTCGTAGAGCTGGTCTTTGGGTACAGAGAAGGCAGACAATCCAGATAATAGCACTTGCTGGGAACTCTGCTTCAGGGAGATCTGCTGGGGACAGAAGGGGAAAAGTGTTGAGAAAGTAGAATTGTAACAATAGTATAGCATTATTATTATTGTTGTTGTTGTTGTTGGTCACACAGTCTACCAGATGTTCAGACTGGCTTTAATATTTTTGTCTACCTATCAAGTTCTTTCTAAGGACCTGGGATAGGCAGATCCGGATGTTTGATAATGTTACAGATATCATCACAGGATGTAAGCTGTTCCAAGTAAAGTTGCCTTTTGTTGATTGACTGATGGTGAATTTGTCAATGCTGATTATGTTTGCCATTTGTTTTGTTATTGTTGTTGTTATTGTCTGTTGCACAGTCAGCCAGATTTTCAGACTGGATTTGGCATTTTTGTCTACCTATCGAGTTCTTTCCAAGGACCTGGGATAGGCAGATCTGGATGTTTGATGGTGTTACAGATATCGTTGCAGGCTGTAACCTGTTCCGAGTAAAGCTGCCTTTCACAACTGGCTGATGATGAATTTGTCAATGCTGATGGTGTTCAAGTGGTACTTCAGTTGTTTTGGGATTGCACCCAAGGCATCTATTACTATTGGTACTAACTTTACTTGCTTTTGCCACCGTCTTTATATCTGTAAGTCTTTCTATTTGGTTATTGTTTCCAGTTCTTTCTCTTCTATTCTGCTGCCTCCATATACTGCAATGTCCACAGTTCAGACTTTTTTTGTCTTTCTTCTCGACAATTGTTAAGTCTGGGGTGTTAAGTGGCAGGTGCCTGTCTAAAGTCCCAGAGCAATTTAGCTTCTTTATTTTCTATGACTTTCTCTATTTTATGGCCCATCAGTTCTTGTTTGCAAATGATATTTCTTGCAGATCTTGCAATGCACCATTGTTGCTACTTTGTCATACTGCTGCTTACAGTCGGTCTGGGTGACCATCTTGCAGCAGCTTACCATTCTTCAGCTTCCTTACATAAACGGCACTTACTGTCTTTTGCTTTCTTCTCACTTCTGGCTTTGTATGGATCTATTCTTAAGGCTTGTGCAGCCAGAATTTGTCCCTCAGTCTCTTTCTTCAACTTTCCTGCTCTTAGCTATTGTCAGGTCTTGTTATCATTTGCTTTCCCTGCTATTTTATTTATGTACTGGCCATGTAGTGTTTTATTATGATTATTATTATGATGATGATTGTTGAGTCCGTCGCGAAATGGTAAGACACGAGAAGCAGTTGTAGTTCTCAGGAAACCTTTATTCTTCAGTTCAGCTTACATTGGAATGTGGCGGCAACGCCCAAACTCTCGGCCTCCTTTTATAGGCCTTTCCCGGGTCAATCTGCTACTTTTGGCGCGCCAGCACCCGCTCATGCGCACACGTACTGGCGACAGCCTGTCTGGTCCCGGGCAGCTTGCACCTGCCCAGGACCGCCTGCAATGCCCCGAGCCTGCTTGCAAGGCTCAGGACATAACACCCCTTTCCCCCGGGCTAAAACTACGACCAATGCCATAATAATACACAACCCACTCTTAGTACAATGCTCTGCTCCCCCAATGTTCGGAATTCCCCCCGTTTCCATTGCCTTAGTGTTTCTACTCTTCTACTGGCTCTGTTTAGCCAATAATGCTTTGTAATCCTCTAAGTACTTAGAAGATTTCCTTGCTCTCTGTGACCTCCTAAGCTCTGGGTGTCTGACAGGTACCCCCTGACTGAGGGGTGATGTGTGCCTGTTCCCCTTGTTATGCCTTGGTGACTCCCAAGGACTGTGCTCCAATGCCTGGCCTGCTTGCTTGCCCACCGGGCTCGTCAGGCCAGGGCTTCTTCCAGTGTATGACCTGGTTGTCCCGCCTAGCTGTAGGCTCTCTGGCCCTTCTAAGTGACTGTCACTGTTGGGCATTTCTGTAGAACCTCCTAGGTCCGTCCAAGACCTGTCAGGAGGCTGTCTATCCCCTGAATCCCGTTCTGTGTCCGGGCTTGTGTGGGTTTCAGTACTGTCCCAAAACTCAGTTGTCCCCTGAGTGTAGTCAGAGGTGTTGTAGTCGGGATTTGGTTCCTCGACCACCTCCCTGTGTGTTTGCCCCCTTCTAGTACTAGTGATAAGGTCAGGCCAACTATGAGGAGTGTGTGCCAGCTCTCTTGCGGGGTATGGTTTATTGGGATGCTCCCGGGTATCCTCCCTGACTGGAGTACTGAGTGGTGCGGGCGAGTAGTGATTGTGCCCCCGGGGTAACTCCCTGGCTGGAGTAGGCGTGAATGCCTGATAACTGGTTAAGCTCCTAGAATTCCTGTTTGGAGCACTCGCGGAATTTTGGGATGGGCCGTTTGTGGCTCCCTCATTGGTAAAGGGCAGCATTCCATGCCCCTCCCTTTGCCCAAAGGGCTCCCCCTCCCCCCCTGGAAAAGACCCAGGAGTCTCAGCGGGAAGGTCCCGTCTAGGGCGAAGTTGGTCAATGTGCCGACGCAGGACACGACCGTTGTCCAGGGATACCTCGTAGGATAGAGGACCTGTGACCCTGGATATAGATGCGGGGACCCATGTATGACCAGGCCCGTAATTATGAGTCCAAACCGGGGCACCCACAAGTAGTTGCCTAGGTGCCCTGGGGTGTGAGACAGAAGGAGGCAGTCTGTCCGGATGCAACTGGTCAAGCTTGGTAGTCAGTTTGCGCCCCCAACGAAGTTCAGCTGGGCTTCTCCCTGTAGAAGTGGACGGTGTGGTGCGATAAGAAAGGAGGAAGTCAGCCAACCTGTGATGCCAGTCCCGTAGGTGAGCCTCTTCAAGGCGTCCTTGGTGATGCGAACCATGCGTTCAGCCATACCGTTGGTGGACGGGTGGAAAGGTGCAGAAGTGGCATGACGAATCATGTTAGCCTGCAAGAAAGCTTGGAATTCGGAGGAAGTGAATTGAGGGCCGTTGTCAGACACAATGACGTCTGGGAGCCCGTGTGCAGCAAAAATCCCCCTCAGTACCTGAATAGTCTTTGCAGTGGTGGTGGAAGAGACAGGTACAACCTCAAGCCATTTTGAATGGCTGTCAACGAGGACCAAGAAGAATTGACCCTGAAAGGGCCCAGCGTAGTCAATGTGCACCCTAGACCATGGAGACTGTGTTTCCTCCCATCTATGCACAGGAGCTTGGGGCATTTCAGGGTGTGAGCGTTGACAAAGGCGGCAAGCATGCACCTTAGCTTCTATGTCTTTGTATACACCTGGCCACAAGTGGCTGCGTGCAAGAGCCTTCATTCGTACAATGCCAGGATGACCCTCGTGGAGGGAATCTAAGACCCTAGTCCTCATTGAGGTGGGAATGACAACTCTGCTTCCCCAAAGCAGACAACCCTGAGAGGTGGACAACTCGTTCCTTTTAGACCAGAAACTCTGAAACTCAGGACTAGGACAGTGCTCAGGCCATCCAGACAAAACCCAAGAAAGGACATGTGAAAGTGTGTGATCTGTGCCTGATTCAGCGGCTACATCCCTGGCATTCAGGGGGGACTCGGGCAAGGCTTGAATGGAGAGAATATGGATGGCTGGCGCGGGGTCAGCCTCTATTACCGGCAGGGGTAATCTACTGAGGCCATCAGCATGGCCCATTTCCTTCCCAGGCTTGTGAAGTAGGGAAAAATCATATGCAGACAAAAAGATAGACCACCTGAGCATCCTGGGGGAGATGATATGGGGAGTTTGTTTACGTGTGGTAAACAGTCCCAACAAAGGCTTATGGTCAGTGAAGACCGTGAAATGCCTACCATATAAAAAATCATGGAATTTTTTAATTCCAGCAACAACAGCTAAGGCCTCCCTGTCTATTTGAGCATAGTTGCGCTCAGCTGAAGACAATGTCCTGGAGTAATATGCAACAGGAACCTGAGTTCCATCAGCCCTGAGGTGGCTCAGTACAGCACCCACCCCATAAGGGGAAGCATCACAAGCGATGCACACAGGAAGGGACTCATTGAAGTGAGCAAGTACACTGTTAGAAGTGAGCAAGGCCTTGACCTCATTGAAACTAGCCTCATGTGTTTGTGACCACTGCCACACTGCCTGTTTATCTAATAGCCTGTGAAGAGGCTCAGCTACACTAGCCTTGTGTGGAAGAAAGGAATTGTAGAAATTCAGAAGGCCCAGAAAAGTCTGTAGTTCGGCCTTAGACTTTGGCCTAGGGGCTTGCATAATGGCTTTTAGTTTGGATTCAGCAGGATGAATCCCAGCAGCATCAATTTTGAACCCCAGAAACTCAGTAGAAGGCACCCCAATTTTACATTTATCCTTCTTGAGTTTGAGTCCCGTTTTCCTGAACCTTAATAGGACAGCCCTTAGCCTTTCAGCTAGAATGTGTGTGGAGTCTCCTGCAATTAAGACATCATCAAAATAGGGGCAAACCCCTGGTATACCCCGTAGTGTGTTTTCCATTACGCTTTGGAAAATCCCAGGAGCGACATTTACTCCAAATTGAAGTCTCTTTACCTTGAAAGCCCCTCTGTAGGTCACAATAGTCTGAGCTATAGCAACGTCATCATCAACAGGCAGCTGTTGATATGCTTGAGCTAGATCAAGCTTTGCAAAAACGCGCCCCCCCCTTGAGGAAGTCCAGGATATGACTGACCACAGGAACAGGATAGGCATGTTGCTGCAATGCCTTATTTAGAGTGCATTTGTAATCAGCACAGATGCGAATGTCCCCATTTGCCTTAAGAGGCGTGACAATGGGGGTCTCCCATGGACTGGAGTCAACTGGTTCTAGAATTCCTTGTTGGATCAGTTTATCCAATTCAGTGTCAATTTTACTCTTTAAAGCAAAAGGGACCCTTCTTGCTTTAATTCTAATGGGAGTGACCATGGGGTCTACCTTTAACGACACAGGGGGTCTTTTGAATGTGCCCAGCTGGGGGCTGAAAACGTTTGCAAATTCTTTGCAGACTTCCTGTAGGTCGAGTGTTTGTAGGCTGTTGAGCCCTGTGACGTGTATCCCCAAGGCCTCAAACCACTCGAGTCCTATGAGACTCGTTCGTTCACCCTCTACTACTAGTAGGTATAGTGGACCCTCAAAATCCTTATACTGTACGTTAAGGGTGGCCTCCCCCTTAACACACACTCTGGAGTTTTGAAAATCCGTTAGCACAATGTCAGAAGGCCTCAACTTGGCCTGGGTTCCGCTGCCGGAACAAATCTTCCTAAATGTGTGCATAGAAATGATCGAAAGTGCAGACCCCGTGTCCAGTTCCATAGTTAATGGAACCCCTTGTAGCTTCACCTTAAGTGACAGCTTTTTCTTAATGGGCTTGTGTGTGCCTGTCCTGTAGATGCTTCTTCGCGAAGCGCAAAACCCCACCCTATTCTGGCTGGGGACCCTGGTACCTTTCAGGCGCAATTCTTCCTGAGGTTGTACCTTCTGACGGCCCAGGCACACAGCTGCAATGTGTCCTTGTTTTCCGCACGCCCGGCAGATAGCGGAGCGGAACTTGCAGTCGGCTCTCTTGTGGCGACCTCCACAACCGATGCACTTGGGGAGAGATGAAGAGCTTCCTCTTGATTTTCCTTCCTTTGTGGAGTGGAGACGGTCCACTTCCTCGTCCGGATCCTCCTCGGAGTTTCTTTGGACTTCTTCCTGGTGCACGGACGCAGCATCTGGACTGTTTCTGATCAGCCGCATGTTCTTGATGGCGCCGCCCGCTGCTTCTTCTGCGGTGACCTCTCTCAAGGCATCTTGGAAAGACAAGTCCTCCTTGGCGAAAAGTCTCTGTTGCAACTCTCGATGCCTTAGCCCGCATACAAACCGGTCCCTCAGTCGTTCCTCGAGGTCCTTGAACTCGCAATGTTTGCCGGCTTTCCTCAGTGCGACGATGTACTCCTTGGCCGATTCTCCGGGTCGTTGATCCCTCTGCTCGAAGGTGTGGCGCCACGCGATGACGGACATCTTAGGCTGGAAGTGCTCCTTCAGTAACTTCTTTAGATCTGCGTAGCTGACAGACTCTAAAGGAACAGGTGCTGCGAGATTCTCAGCGATTTCGAATGCGTCTTGACCGCAAACGCACAGCAAGGTGGCAGCCTTCAAGCTCTCTTCCCTCACCTGGTTCACTTTGAAGTAGTTTTCCACCCTGGCTACGTAGGACTCCCACCTCTCTGGATGTGAGACGTCGACTTCCGAAAGCCTTCCAATCTTTGCCATTTCGAATCAGGAAGGGTCTATCAGCCAGCCTACCCCCGAATGCGCACTGGATTGGTGGGTAGCTGCCGAGTCAACGCCGTTCCTGCCGCTCCGGACTCACTCGGGTAAGCTTACACCTTTTCTTCTTCGATGTAAGGCAATCCCACCTTCATCGCCAGTGTTGAGTCCGTCGTGAAATGGTAAGACACGAGAAGCAGTTGTAGTTCTCAGGAAACCTTTATTCTTCAGTTCAGCTTACATTGGAATATGGCGGCAACGCCCAAACTCTCGGCCTCCTTTTATAGGCCTTTCCCGGGTCAATCTGCTATTTTTGGCGCGCCAGCACCCGCGCATGCACACACGTACTGGCGACAGCCTGTCTGGTCCCGGGCAGCTTGCACCTGCCTGGAACCGCCTGCAATGCCCCGAGCCTGCTTGCAAGGCTCAGGACATAACAATGATGATGATGATGATTATTATCATCATCATCATCGTCGCTGTTGTTTTGTGTTGCCTTAATAGGGATTTTTTACAGCTTAAGAAAACAAAAATAAAAATAAATGTAACTGGTTATAGAAGAATGTAAAGCAAGGGAATAACTTTTCTGCAGAATGACATTTTCGAACAGTGATAGCTGCTCATTTAAGAAAGTGCAATGTGGAATGAAGCATACAATTCAGTTTTCAGTCTAAAGTTTCATTTGATTTGACTCCCTGCATCCTTGAAAGATGGGCAGCCCCAAGTGAAACAGCAGATGCAGAAAAAAAGATAAGAATGGATTTTCAGTGTTGGACCAAGGCTTGAATGCTCAGTGCCTTGGCTTTCTCCATAAATAATACATGGAAAATAAGTTACCAAAAATTAAAATTCAAACAAGTTATGCAAGTGATAAGGAAAGTATATCTTTGCAGTTTGAAAATTCAAGGGGAACATTTTTGCTTTATTTATTTTTTAACTGCTAGCTGTCTTTTTTTCAAACACCTACATTTCACCATGTGATTAGATGTACCTGCTAACTTCCCTCTTCAACTCATTTATTACGGGACTCATTTATTATAACTCATTTATTTATTATGGGATGAGAAGACAATGAGAAAACAGTATTAGTTGTAGTTAGAGTGCCTTTCTACATTAAACCCTCCAATGCATGCATTCCTCCATGATCAAAGGCTACAGAACTCACCTTTAAGAATGAGGGCAGCAACAATGTCATAGCTTCAGCCTTCACGTGGACATAGCTCCATTCATCTAGCTGAATGCAATGCTGTCCCATTTGGATGACCCTCCTGGCAACTGATGGGGAGAAGTCAGGAACGAGACATATTCAAACCAAACCAGTCTCTTCTATCTGCATCTCTTGTGTCAATTCAACAATCCCTACCTAATTTCCTTATTCAGAATTTTTGGACCATCTAATTGCTTGAACGGGTATGGAGGATTTGGGGTTCTTTACCAGTGAATTCAATATAGGATGGAATGAAAAAAATCAATTTCTAAAAAAATACATAATGGTAGTACCAAAAGTACAAAAGAAAGGGCTCATGAAGTTGGAACTTGTGCTTTAAATACATTTTTCTTTGTGGATTCTTTTTTTTTTTTTTAATCTTTGGAAAATACCTGGATCACTGTGCAAGACCAAGCAATGGTGCCCAGGACCTGTAAAGGGGTCACTGCACTGATCAAAATATCCCTCCCAAATTCTCTAACAGCACTCAATCCTAGTTCTTACTGAAATTTGCAGATTGTTTCTGTATTTTAGATAAGATTATTTCCTCTGAATAGGCAATAAGTTGTTTGAATGAAAAGCTACAATGCTCCATTTCTAAAAGCAGGAGAGCTTTTCTTCTTATTATTTTTTGTTTTGGTATAGAGAAATATCACCAGAATAGACACTGGTTGAAATGATACAGATCAGATTAAGAGAGCTATTAAAATCCACGCAATACTTCTCTTTTATTTCTTCCGCTTAATATTTTTCTCCAATTTTAAAAGAATGAGCTTTACTACTTAAGGCTAAATAAAGACTCCATGGCAAAGTAAGTCTGAACTGATAACTCAATTGATCTGAAGTCAACAAAAGTCATGTTGTGCTTACAGTTTTTTAATCCCCCCCCCTCCAAATTAGTTCCTATTCTTTATTTCCACTATGAATCACAACTACATGCTGCTGATAAAAAGAACCAGAATGTCATTTTTGAAGTGTTGTTCCTACCTTCAGGATCCTCAAAAGTGATGAGAGCTGATCCCCCAAGTACAGGGTATCGGATCTGGGGCACAAAAGTCAGCATTTCTGGAAAGCTGTCCATCTTTTCCTTTTCCACATGACCCTTAAACACCATTTCTTTGTTAGGAAGAGCAGCTGGCATCTGGGCAATGCAAAGTTGTATACATTTAATAAAGAATCTTGAGACATTCTCCCCTATGCAATAGATTTACTTGTTCCTTGAGTGCTAGCACACAAATGGGGCGTTGTCTTACCTGAACGCCTTTTCTCAGCATGAAGATGTAGCATCCACCGATTGGGTAATCAAAGCCCTCCTGCTCAGATTTAGACTAAGACCAAACTTTAGCCACGCCTCCCTTGGGCGTTCCTTTCCCAGTTTTGTCGAGGCGAAGCGTTCATAAGGTCCGACACAGTAGCTCCTCCTGAAAGAAAACCTGCCTAGACTAATCGTTAAGGGTGGGTGCGGATGCTACATCTTCATGCTGAGAAAAGGCGTTCAGGTAAGACAACGCCCCATCTCCAGCATGATAGATGTAGCATCCACCGATTGGGACATACCAAAGCCACCCGTGTCCCTGTCGGGAGGGAAGTCTAGGCTTGTGGCTCGAGCATAGAGACTACCTGCTGTAGAACCCTTCTGCCGAAGGATGCGTCTGAGGCAGCGAATTTATCAAGTTTGTAATGCCTTATAAATGTAGAGAGGGAAGCCCAGGTGGCTGCCCTGCAAATTTCCTCAATCGAGGCCTGAGTGGACCAGGCCGCAGATGTAGCAGCGCTACATGTTGAATGAGCTGTTAAGTGAGACGGAACAGGAAGAGACTGAGTCCTGTATGCATGAGAGATGCAGGCTCTAATCCATCTACCAATGGTCGAAGATGATACCTTCAGACCCATGGAAGAAGACTGGAAAGACACAAACAAAGCTTCCGATCTATGAAAGGCACTGTGCAGTGCGGAATGAACTGGACTGGATGATTATATCGTCCAGGTAACATTGTACTCTTACCAGTATCAGTTTAAGGTGTGCCGCTAATACTGCCAGTATCTTTGTGAATACCCGTGGTGCTGAGGATAGACCGAAGGGAAGTGCCCTGTACTGATAGTGTCTGTTTGCATGGCAGAAGCGGAGGAACCGGTGGTGATGCGGTCTGATAGGAACATGAAGGTAGGCCTCTATCAGGTCTATGGAGGAGAGATAATCTCCCCTCCTGACACTGGCTAGAATGGACTTGAGGGACTGCATTTTGAACTTCCTATAGATTAGGAAGCGATTGAGTCCCTTTCGATCTAATATCGCTCTCCATCCCCCCGAGGCCTTGGGAACCACGAAGAGGATGGGGTAGAACCCTCTTCCTCTTTGTTCCAGAGGAACTGGTTCTATGGCTCTTATTTCTAATAAGTGTGTTATTGCTGTGATGACTAGATCAGCCCTGTGTGTGTTTCTTGAAGCGGGGCACTGAACGAAGCGGTCTGGTGGAATGGACCTTAGTTCTAGGGCTAGACCGAATCTTATGATCTCTCTTATCCAGGTATTGTTTGTGGTGAGCTCCCAAGCGTCGCTGAACAGGGTTAAGCGTCCGCCTATGGGAGGGTCCAATCTGGCGTCACTTAGACCTTCTGAATGGACGGCCTCCCGCCCCCCTGAAGGGGCGCTTGGTCTGGAAATGACCCCTGGCTCCTGAATTCTGGCGGTCCTGTTGGCGATCCTGTCTGGGGGAAAAGGATCGGGAATCTCTGGGCCAATCCCAGGACTGCTCTGATCGAAAGGGCTGCCACCATTCCCAAGAACTTCCGGCCCTGAAGGACTGCCTGCGAAATTCTTGTTGAGGTCTCTTATCCATCTTCTTGGACGGATGAGCTAAGGTCTTTCTCTTATCCTTCCCCTCAACCAGGTATGGCTCTTGGATCTGGCCAAATAAATTTTTACCACCGTAGATGTCTGTAGAAAGACGCCACCTTGACTTTAGGTCCGCCCTCCACTATTTGAGCCACAGGAATCTGCGGGAAAGAACTGTGGCCACAATAGATCTGGCCGAAAATTTGGTGGAGTTGAGGGAAGCATCTGACATGTATTCCGCCGCAGCTACTAGTTTACCTAGAGTCTGTTGCGCGGGTACCTGGTCCGGAGGAATTAACGCCTGTAGTTCCCGGAGCCACATGATAGAAGTTCTCGCGAAAAAGGACAAGAATGAAGATGCCCTGATGGCCCAGGCAGAGGCCTGGTGAGCCCTGCGGAGAGAAAACTCCAAACGTTTGTCCTCGCCTTGAGATGCTCGGCCATATCTCCAGGAACCGTGGCTGTGGAGAACAAGGATGTTAAGGGAGCGTCCACTGTGGGAACCTCTAGAAGGGAAGAGAATGTAGAAGGTACATTATACAATCTCTTTTCCATGCTGCTTGAGAAGGTAGAGTGGCCAATGAGTTCCACTCTTTTTCCACCGTCTCATGGAAAACAGCTGGGCAAGGAACATGTTTTTCCTCTACAACCCTTCTAGCAAATAAAGCATTTGACTCTTGTGTAGCCGAGGTGGATGGCTTGGTTTCCTGCTCCAAGACCAAGTTGGCCGTTGTGCAGACTTTTAACAAAAGAGATTTGAATAGGTTTGGATCAAAAAGCCCCGATGTTGGGGTTGGATCCGGAGTTACCTCCTCATCCTCAGACATAGGCCCTTCAGTTGTTTCCAGGTCAACAGATTCAGTTTCCCCAATCTGAGATGAAGTCTCAGAAATACCTGAACCCGCTGACTGGAGACCTCCAGTGCAGTCTGCGGGCAAGGGTGGAGAAGGTGAAATCTGTGAGGGACCAGCTGCCAAGGAAGAAGACATAAATTGATTAAAGGCCTGATGCATAAAACTCTGGAACTGTTGAGCCCATAAGGATCGCTCAGCTGCAGGCACACCAGCAGCAGTGGCCTCAGGTGTCTGCGTAATAATGTTAGCATGTGAAGTGGAAGACCCCGGAAGAGGGGATGAAGGAATAGGTTAGATAGGGGCAGATAGACTGACCTGTTCAGTTCCCCCTTGAGGAGACCATGCCCTGGGGGCTTGATGGCACCAGTGAGGGCTCATAAGGTGAGCTGCCCAGAGAAACAGGGGGAACCACTTCGACTTCTCTGGACTTCTCTCTCTTTGTGCCTTGGAGAATTCTTTCTCCAGTGCCTGGTGTCTCCTCGAGGCCTCTCGCTCAGCGGTCTTGGGGGGGTTCTTTGGTTAATAAATGCTTGGTTTTAGCTTTTCTCTCCCCCCCCCCGTGTTTGGATCAGAGGATCTGCGTTTTGATTGGATGGGGGGAACATCAGAACCCTGCAAAGCCTGAGGAGATAGGAGAAGCCCTGGGGTGGGGGTAACTACGCAGATCAAGTTGTCCGGGAGGGAGGCTTCCCGTGCCCTAAGACAACTACAATGGCAAACAGCCAGAACAGCTGCCTAAAACTGTCTGCTGGGCCCTGCCGGCACAGTGCCGGGAGCTAAATAGAACAGGTCAGGAACCCCACAATTGAAGTTAAAAGGTTTTATTTATTTATTTATTTATTATTTTTACAAATCTCTGAGAAGCAATGCGTCGAAAAAACAGCAGCTAAACCCCCAAGAGGACCCAATGCAGTGAGTCACTAACGCTAGGCCTGTTCAAAATGATGGCCGCCAGTCTTCCTGGCGCCTAAAAATGGCCTCTCCCCTTAGTCAGAGCTGTGAGACAGCTTCTCCGGTCTCGTCTTTGAAGTCCCCTTGCAGGCAGGCAAAAAGACGGAGGGAGTCTTACACACACTTCTTCCCCCCCCCACAGCTACAAGGCACCACAAACACTTGCGATTCTGCAGCGCACGGGAGTCTCTGTGCGATCCTGGATGGAGCCTCGTGGCCACGAGGCAAGAGATAAGCTCTGGTAACCGGCTGAAATTTTCCAGAATGCTGGCAATAAAACTGTCTTCAGGCGCAAGGGAAGCCTCCCTCGGTGCCTGAACCGCTGCTCTGAGCTGAAGCCGCCGCAGCGGCAGGGCTCCGACGATCCACGAGGCCAATTAGGCCCTCTGGAAAACAAACCTGCAAAGTTGCTAATTCACTATCTCTTAGCAAAAAAACAAAAATTATGTAAAGAGTAAACTACAAGAAACTATACTAATAATCCTACTGCTACCCTATTTAAACTAACAATTGCTGAGGAGCTAACAAAACTGTGTCCTCTCTGAGCATAGACTAAGACAAAACTGGGAAAGGAACGTCCAAGGGAGGCGTGGCTAAAGTTTGGTCTTAGTCTAAATCTGAGCAGGAGGGCTTCGATTACCCAATCGGTGGATGCTACATCTATCATGCTGGAGAATGGGACTCAAGACACAAAAGTAATTCACCAAATGTTTTAGCCTCCTGTGTTGGTTTATAAGGCAGAAAATGTGACTGATATACGTGTCAAGTCCCAATAAATGGTTAATGGGATGACTTCATCGATAGATATTAGATTTCTATACTTGAGATTTTTTTAAGGAAACAATGATATAAAATAGTAATATACTAAATACAGCAACCCCTTCATGGATTATTGCTTTGTCATGGCGAAGGGGCTTGTGTAACTCAATGAAGCTATGAGCTATGCCGTGCAGGGCTACCCAAGACAGACAGGTCATAGCAGAGAGTTCTGACAAAATGTGATCCGCTAGAGAAGGAAATGGCAACCCACTCCAGTATCTTTGCCATGGACAGTACTAAAAGGCAAAAAGATATGATGCTGGAAGATGAGCTCCTCAGGTCGGAAGGTGTCCAATATGCTACTGGGGAAGAGCAGAGGGCTAGTACTAGTAGTGCCAGAAACAGTGAAGCGACTGGGCCAAAGCCGAAAGGATGCTCAGCTGTGGATGCATCTGGTGGTGAAAGGAAAGTCTGATGCTGTAAAGGTGTTTTCTCCATAGGAACCTGGAATGTAAGATCCATGAATCAAGGCAAACTGGACGTGGTCAAACAAGAGATGACAAGACTGAACATCGACATCTTAGAAATCAGTGAATTAAAATGGACAGGAATTTAATTCAGAGGACCATCAGGTATACTACTGCAGGAAAGAATCCCTCAGAAGAAATGGAGTAGCCTTCATAGTCAATAAAAGAATAGGACAAGCAATATTGGGATACAATGCCCAAAATGACAGATGATCTCAGTGCGAATCCAAGGAAAACCATTCAATATCACAGTAATCCAAATCTATGCCCCAACCACTAGTGCTGAAGAGGATGAAATTGATCAGTTCTATGAAGCCCTACAGCACCTTATAGAATCAACACCAAAAAATGATGTCCTTATCATCATGGGGGATTGGAATGCTAAAGTAGGAAGCCAAAAGATAACCAGAATAACAGGCAAGTTTGGCCTTGGAGTACAAAATGAAGCACGGCACAGGCTGATAGAATTTTGTCAAGAGAATACAATGGTCACAGAAAACACTCTTTTCCAACAACCCAAGAGACAGCTCTACAGATGGATGTCACCAGATGGTCAACACAGAAATCAGACTGACTATGTGTTCTGCAGCCAAAGATGGAGAAGCTCTATACAGTCAGTAAAAACAAGACCAGGAGCTGACTGTGGCTCAGATCATGAGCTTCTCATTGCAAAATTTAGGCTTAAATTGAAGAAAGTGGGAAAAAACACTAGGCCACTCAGGTATGAACTAAATCATATCCCTGTTGAATATACAGTAGAGGTGACAAATAGATTTAAGAATTATATCTGATAGACAGAGTGCCTGAAGAACTATGTACGGAAGTTTGCAACATTGTACAAGAGGTAGCAACTAAAACCATCCCAAAGAAAAAGAAATGCAAGAAAGCAAAATGGCTGTCCGAGGAAGCTTTGCAAATAGCTGAGGAAAGAAGGGAAGCGAAAGGCAAGGGAGAAAGAGAAAGATACACCCAACTGAATGCAGAATTCCAGAGAATAGCTAGAACAGATAAGAATGCCCTCTTAAATTAACAGTGCAAAGAAATAGAAGAGAACAATAGAATAGGGAGAACCAGAGATCTCTTCAAGAAAATTGGAGATATGAAGGGAACGTTTCATGCAAAGATGGGCATGATAAAGGACCAAAATGGCAGGGACCTAACAGAGGCAGAAGAGGCAAAATTACACAGAAGAACTATATAAGAACGAGGTCTGCATCCCTGATAACCACGATGGGGTGGTCACTGACCTCTAGCCAGACATCCTAGAATGTGAAGTTAAATGGGCCTTAGGAAAGCTGAGCAACAACAAAGCTAGTGAGGTGACAGTATTCCAGCTGAGCTATTCAAAATCTTAAAAGACGATGCAGTAAAAGTGCTACACTCAATTTGCCAGCAGCAACTCAACAGTGGCCACAGGATTGGAAAAAGTCAGTTTACTTCCAATTCCAAAGAAAGGCAATGCCAAAGAATGTTCAAACTAATGCATCATTGCACTCATTTCATATGCAAGTAAAGTTATGCTTAAAATCCTACAAGCTAGACTCCAGCAGTATGTGGATCGAGAACTTCCAGAAGTACAGGCAGGATTTCGAAGAGGAAGAGGAACTAGAGATCAAATTGCCAACATATGCTGGATCATGGAGAAAGCTAGGGAGTTTCAGAAAAACATTTACTTCTCCTTCATTGACTATGCTAAAGCCTTTGATTGTGTAGATCACAACAAATTGTGGCAAGTTCTTAAAGAGATGAGAGTACCAGACCATCTTATTTGTCTCTTGAGAAACCTATATGCAGATCAAGAAGCAACAGTGAGAACTGGACACGGAACCACAGATTGGTTCCAAATTGGGAAAGGAGTCAGGCAAGACTATATTTTGTTACCCTGCTTATTTAACTTATATGCAGAGCACATCATGAGAAAGGCAGGGCTAGATGAATCAAAGGTTGGAATTAAGATTGCTGGGAGAAATATCAACAACCTAAGATATGCAGATGATACCACTCTAATGGCAGAAAGTGAAAAGGAACTAAAGGGTCTCTTGATGCAGGTGAAGAAGGAGAGTTCAAAAGTTGGCTTGAAACTCAACATCAAGAAAACCAAGATAATGGTATCCAGCCCTCTCAATTCCTAGCAAATAGATGGGGAAGAAATTGAGGTAGTGACACATTTTATCTTCCTGGGCGCCAAGATCATCACAGATGGGGACTGCAGCCAAGAAATTAAAAGACGCTTGCTCCTGGGGAGGAAAGCTATGGCAAATCTAGACAGCATACTAAAAAGCAGAGACATCACCCTGCCAACAAAAGTACATATAGTCAAGGCCATGGTTTTCCCAGTTGCAATGTATGGCTGTGAAAATTAGACCATAAGAAAAGCTGAGCGCCTTTGAACTATGGTGCTGGAGAAGACTCCTGTGAGTCCCCTGGACTACAAGGTGATCAAACCGGTCAGTCCTAGAGGAGATCAACCCTGACTGCTCTTTAGAAGGCCAGATCCTGAAGTTGAAACTCAAATACTTTGGCCACCTAATGGGAAGGAAGGACTCACTGGAGAAGAGCCTAATGCTGGGAAAGATTGAGGGCAATAGAAAAAGGGGATGACAGAGAATGAGGTGGCTGGATGGAGTCACTGAAGCAGTAGGTGTGAACTTAAATGGACTCCAGAAGATGGTAGAGAACAGGAAGGCCTGGAGGAACGTTGTCCATGGGGTCGCGATGGGTTGGACACGACTTCGCAACTAACAACAACAAAATATAGCAAGTATAGATGAGAAAGTTTATAATTATTTGTAGACTCACTGTGCAAGAGGGGGAATTTACGAGATTGATTTGAGACATATTTCTCAACATTCAGCCAGGGTGGGGTTGATTCTATTTAATGTTGATTTTATTTATGTTGTGGACATTTTTATTATTACTTTCTTTTTGGTCTTGTCTTTAATTTTTGTCTTTCTTTTTATTATCTTTGTAGTTGTTTATTTTATATGTAACATCTTATCTTTGAGATAAATACAAAAATGTAATAGAAAAAAAAGTGATTTGGAGAATTCTTCCAAATGGAGAAATCTGAAAAAAGAATTCTGGCTGAGGTTTTGAATAATTTGTATAGCTTTGGGCAAAATCTTGCCTATAGGAATTTAAATAAAATAATATGTTTTTGCAGATACCTTAAGAATTTCTTCCTGGGCTGCATGGAGCTGTTTCAATTCATATTCCAATGCCTGTTTTTCTTGCATTAGCTGGGTTGAATCCTTCTTTCCCAACTGAAGCATTTTCTGCAGAGAAGGTAGACCACTAAATCAGAACAAGTGACACTTCTTTGCCACTGGATGGCAGTCCAAAGATACACTACTGTTTTCTCTGAGAAAACAGACTACAATCTATCAACTTCTATAGCTACAGCATTGAAGTTGGTCTCTCCAGAGCTTCATCTTGTGACCAGAGGCCTGAGCTAGGGAATCTGTCAGGAACAATTTTGGAGATAATAGAATGTGGGAAACAATGGCTGTATTTGCTTCATACTTTGAACTACAAATTAACGAAGTACATTTTAATTAAGTGTATTTTGCAAATTTAACTGTGTCCTTTATTGGCTTACTGGGTCCTGTGAACCTAAAAAACGGGGTTGAGCAAGCCATGATTAAACACAGACTGGCATAGTTATTTGGAATATGAAGGTGGATCGTGCTTTTCTGTTATTAAACAGAAGATGGTACATCTTCCCTGCTACAGGGCTGCAAAGTTTCATTTCTACATCAGAAATTATGACTTCTGATATATTCCAACTGGAATGTCTAGTTGCCATTAGTGGCATGGCATGGATTTTACCCAACTGTCTGCAAGCAAAAGCTTGCAATATGCATTGGCAATAACTGGGGGGAATTCTAATTTGTGCCAAAGTTCTTAAGAAAAATTCTAGAGATGAGAAGATCAAGGTCTTAGAAATCTCCACCTCAAATTTATTCATCCAGTGGCTGCAAGAAGAATTTTTTTGTAAAATAAGGAACAATGTAAGGCTTAACTGAAACAATATAAGCATATAAATTATAACATCTAACTTCTTTCAGGCATTGTCAAAATGTTTCTTTTAAATTAAAAACGTACAGAGTCTATTTTTAAAATGTGGCACACTAGAGCTACTATAGTGGGCCTCATGTTCACATCCTGGAGATTTCTATAGGCAATCAGAAGCAATATAACAATGCAGTCAACATGTTCTTCCATTAAAAGTTTAAAATCAAAATTTACAGGAAGGTAAATATATAATTGTGGATTTAAAATGGTCAGACCTGGAAGGAGCCTTCCTGGGCCTTGGCTTCATTTTCAGCTTCAAGAAGATTTTGACTAAGAAGCTCATATTCTTCTTTGAATTTGGCCAGGTCCTGCTCACTTGCCCTTATGTTTGCCTCCAAGGATAAGCAATCTCCTTCAAAGGTTTTCCATATATCCTAAAGTTGAAAAGACAATCAAATGGCAATGAGAAATTTTCTCTCATGCTTAAACGGTGATAAAGTTAATTTAAGTGGACGGCTAAAGAGAATCTATTAAGAACAACACTATATTCCTGGTTCAACAAGAGGAATCAAACATGGAATATTAATGATGAGGCATGTCTAGTGAACCTCAATTGTTACCAAGCACTCAGACTTGACCTATAGGTAGGAGTGTAGATGAGGGTTTCCGAGGAATGACTGATTACCCACATATTTCATTTAAACCACTAAAGATAATCCTCTTCTCTAAATAAAATACCTGGCACCTCTTAATCTCATTCAAGATTTGGTCCATTGTCATCTTCCAAGGTCCACCTGCAGCAAAAATGTCACTAGCCAAGTGGATGAAGGACTCCTGTGGACCAAAAGAAGCTTCACAGCCTTCTTCCTACAAAGAAAATGTGAAGATGACCACAAAGGAATGGGCAAGAGAGCTGAGGGGAAGGGAGAATTCTCCTCATATGGAAGCATAAGAAAATTTAAAAGGATGGGGAAAATAGTCATTGATACTTTAAAAGCCTTCTTTTCTAATAAATAAAGAGTAAGCATTCTATAAGCCAATTCTACTATGAATAATTTATAGTGAAGGCTGTTTCCATCTCTCATGGTCATAAAGGAAACAAACAAACAAATAAACAAACAAAAACCCCAATTCTTGTTTTCAAACACGATCACTGAATGTTTTTACGACAATTGTTACCAAACACATCATTATTTACAAATCTTTTGCATACTTCCATATAAGAATACAAGAAGCTGTAGAGTACCAGGGTTTAAAGGAGGAATTAGAAAGTATTTGGAAGTTAAAGGCCAAAGTGCTGCCAGTGCTGGTAGGAGCATTGAGGTTTGTGACTCCTGAGCTGGAATGGCTGCAACAGATCCCAGGAACAACATCAGAGCTCTCTCTCCAGAAGAATAACATGCTAGGAACAATTAAGATACAGTTTTGTGCAGAACACTCAAACTCCGAGGCCTCTGGGAGAGGACCCAACATTGAGGAATTCCCTTCTCACACCTAGGGGTGGTATATGTCTTTCTAGCATAGATTGGATAGATAGATAGATAGATAGATAGATAGATAGATAGATAGATAGATAGATAGATAGACAGACAGACAGACAGACAGACAGACAGACAGAGATGTAGGTAGGTAGATAGTAGATAGCTAAATATAAATGTTTCAGGGACAAGATTTTCTGGCTGTCCTGTGTTCCTTTCACCAAAACCTAAAAAACAAGTAAGGTTGCCAGCAGGGTTTCCTAAAAAATAACCCAAGATCTTGTACTCAGATATATCCCGATCCGATTCTACACAAACAAACACACACACACATACACACACACACCTTTTTAAAATGTGTTTTTGCATTGGGTTTCTGTACTACTTTTATCTATTTAAGGACACATTAATAAAACTATTGGAAAAAAGATGTGATTTAGCTCATCCAATTATTGCGTGAATCCATTCGCAGAGATTTGTAATGCATGGCCATTAAATTCCTGGAAAGTGCAAGCCAAGTGAGTTGTGGTTTAATCAGCAATTTAAATTTAATTATTTTTACCTATTTATCAGGGTTGGAACAGGAAATCCTAAAATGAGATTTCAGGCTCAATAAATCTAGATTCAACACAAAAACCACAGATGACAAAAATATAATAAATTCGTTTAAATTATTTTACTTATTTAATACATACAGTATAATGTAAGATATAGAAAACTTTAAAAACAGTTCTTAGAAGTTTAAAATAAAAAATCTAGAAATTCAGACAGGGAGTGAAAAACCTAAATCTGAGTTAAAAACCCAGCACTGGCAACTCTGAGCCCAACAGTTAATAAAGAAAGAGTCTATTAATTGCTGTCCTGCAATTCTAATAATCCAAGCCATGCAGGCTAGGTAAAAATGAGCATTAAACCCCCCCCCCCCCAGATTAGCAAGCTTTTTGGCCTGGAATACTGTTCCACTTCATCCTTGCCTTGGGCAAGAGAAGAGAGGAGGTCCCAACCCAAATGTGAACCTCCCTCCCTCCCTCATAAGAAAGGTTCCAGGGCCTTGTGAACTGGTATCCTGACGATCACACCACAATCAAGCCAGTGCTGGAGGATGAAACGAATAAAGGAGAATATTTATAGCTTGGGTTTGAGGGGCTCTTTGTGCTGTCTGAGCTTGGTTGTTTTCTTGCCGACTTTTCATTATCTAAACTAAGTAATATATTCAGTGTTAGCACTGATGATGTTACCTACTTTGAGTAATGAAACTGTGAAACTTTGAGTAATGAGGCTCAAGATGTCTGGAGATTCTGATGCATCCAGGTCATGGTTGTCTCAAAAGTATTTTTTAAAAAGGCAATTGGACATTCTGTGTTTTTTCCTTGAAAGCATTTCACTTCTCATCCAAGAAGCGAAGCGAACTGAAGAAGCTTCTTTGGTGAGAAGCGAAACGAAAAAAACAAAGAAAGTCCAGTCGCCTTTTGAATAGCACTTCTGTGACAATTAGCTCAGGCAGCATCAAGGAGCGCCCCCTCCCCCTCCCCAGGACTAAACTGCTTACAGCATCTTTCTTTTCCAATCTCTCTGACCTAAGAATAAGAGCACCCCACTTTTCGAGAGGCTTATCATGACTGGAGGAGAGATTAATACTGTCGCGGTCACGGAACGCAATTTGTCATTAAAAGGAAACCGTGATTTTTGTAAATCTTCGCAACTTTTAGGGAAGAAGGGGAACGACTTGATAGTGCCCGTCCCAAACGCTTTACCTTCAAAATTCGTGGTGCTCTCTTGTCGAAGCTCGCTTCTACTTTCGATTTCCAGGACCTTCGACTTTCTCCCATCAGCCCCGTCTTTTGGGCAAGGTTCCCAGCTGATCGGGAAAGGAGAAGGGTTTTACAGAACTTTTCCAAAGCTATCTTTGTTCCTCAGCCCTGCGGGCTTTAATCAAAACCCTCTAAGTCAAATTCTACTTCGGAAGGATCCGAAAATCTACCTAGTTCGGGCTGAATAGACAATTTATATGCGTGCGCCTTCCGGAAAACCCTACTTCTCGCCCAGCGTCGGAACTGTATGTTAAGTTTCAGGAAACGGATGCTGAATCTCGATTTGTTTGGGTAGTTGGCCAAGTAGTGCTTTCTTGTTCTTTTATTATTTGCCACCCAGGCGACTTTTGGGGGGCGTACAATATTAAAAGCAATAAAATCATGAAAAATGGGTAATTCTAATCTTGTACATAAAACAAAAAAGCAACATGTAGGTCTAGTCATTGTTACTCAAGTGTGACAGGAATTGGAATTCAACTCGTTTTAAGAATTTGTGATAGAAAAATTAAAGCTACAAACTCTCCCATTTTTACTTTACTTTATCTGCTTTCTTCTTCTGTTGCAAACTAATTCTCCATTTCCTTCTGCTTTTTTGCCCCATGTGTAAACTAGATCAACTTCAGGCTAATGCATAAGTCAAGCATGGCTTTCAGCTGCCAATGTATCTTTAATCCTATCCCAGAAAACAATGAAAAGCCCTTACTTAAAAAAAAGTTACTTGGAGTGCCACTCAAAAAAAACCAAATAATTTCTGCTCCTTTTTAGTATCTCATTTTACTCCAACCAGCAAATTTGTACCAATCAATACTGAAAATAAACCCCAAGAAGAGATAATACTGAGATAAACCCCAAGAAGAGCGTAGTATAAGTAATAATCACATGCACATTATCATTTCCCATTAATGTATTCCCCATTCCGTTATGTTGCATCTAGGATACTGTTCAACACTGGAGATTTATTTTTCTGTGTCTATTCAATCTGACAGTCAGTTTATAGGTCTTCAGAATTCACTTAATCATAATTAGGAGACAGATCTCAAATTTGTCCCAACACATACTGTAATCAGACCACTCTTTGTGTATTCTTCTACTCTTTACCGTACTTTGACAACATATTTCACTAGCCTGCTGAATACTACCAGATCTGGGCAAAAATCCAGACAGCCAGCAGATGATTGTAAGGCTGTGTAAAGCAAACCCTATTGCCTACTTTGGTCAACTGGATTTCTGCAGGCTAGTTCTGGTAGCCAAATTCTAACTAATCTATGAAGGAGGAAGCTTGCAATACAATTACAGAGAAATAGGGTTTTCAAAAATATTTATTGGTTCAGTTGAAAGCAAATCAGAATCTGAGCTTCTGGAAAAACCACTTGTTCTTGCCTGTCTTGTATCTGAAAGAAAAAAAAATTGTTTATAATTCTGCAGATCTCTGTGTAAGCATTAGCCAAAGCAATCACTTCATGTATTAAATGAACTAGTGAATGATATATGATGGTTGAGACTTTTAGGACTCGTAGATGTGTGACATATTCAGAGGGGAACAAGTATGGAAGATTGATATAAAGCAACAGACATTGTCAGAATCACAGAAGTTATAAAATAAGCCACATCAATCATCAGAATAGATGGTAAATTTCTTCTTAAACATTTCCTTTATTAGGGCAACTCAAAGTACAGGCATCCTTGACTTACAATTTATTTAGTGACTGTCTGAAGTTACAACAGCACTGAAAAGTGACATGATCAGTTTTCCCACTTATGACCATTGCAGCATCCCCAGTCACGTTATCAAAATTTGGATGCTTGGCAACTGGCATGTGTTTATGACAGCTGCATTGTCCCAGAGTCATGTCATCGCCATTGGTAAAACCCAGTTATAGCTTATATGAAATTATTTTGTATCCACTTTTTCTTATATTTTTTTTTTGCTCCATCAAAAATTAATGTTGCAGCTTGAATTTAACTAGAAACATAACATCATTCCAAGATTCACCTTTCTTCAAATTTCACTTTGGCCTCTCGCCGTGCCTTACGTTTCAGGGCAGGATCTCTAAATACATCTTTGTTGACAATGGTTTTGTCCAGGGGAATATCAACAGAATACCTAAGCAAAACACAAGAGGTGGGGAAGTTACAAACCCAGAAGCACTTTTGCCCTCTTCCCTGGCTTTTCTTTCAAGTTCGTAGCTGAAATCAGAGCACAGGAGAAAGGAGATTAAAACAACTATTGCTCTTGGTGAAAAGAGTAAATACAGCCGTACATACTTCCTTTTCCTCCCACATATTCTTCCGTACTTCCTTTTCCTTCCAACTCACCTGGTTGGCATCAAGTGGTTGTAATTGTAAACTTTAACAAAGGACTTGATTTTGGACCTCTTAGCAATTTTCTTCTTGCCCATACTGGCTGTTACTTTGCGTGGGTAACGATCGATACCTGCCACCAAGGCATGGCTGTATGGGCGGTCTGAAGTGCCATCATCAATGTTCTGTAATAGAATCTCATTAGAAAAGTCATCCTAAGCAGCATCTACTACAATATTTAACAATGATATTGATGGGTAATCAACTGCAACTTTATTCAGGAGGAAAAAAAATAGTGCTATTTTTGTGTTCCTGAACACAAAACTATTCAAACCCAGTCAATTAAAAAAAAAAAAGTATTCTGAACTCTTTCAGATGATCACTGTGTAATTACCATCCAAGTCTGTCTTTGCTTTACTTAGTTCAGAATTTATTACTTACTTTTATGGGTTTAAAGAATTTACGTTATCATAAAATGTGCCCACATCTATAACTCCAATTTTCAATAGAAAAGCATAATTAGGTGGGAAAATGAACTCTGCATCGGCTTTGTAAGACTGTATATATAACTTAATTGAAATCATACATCAATTTTAAATCACATCATACACAACTAGGCACAATATAAGCTTAAGACAGTCACTGACCTCTCATCACTTTCTTAGATCACTTTAAATCAGAATTCTCAATTATGATATTCAAAGACCTTGGATTTTCCACCTTTATTGTTACTGTTCCTGATACAGCTTTCTTAGTTTGTAACTCTTTATTAGACTAATATTTATTAAGGTTATGCAATTTTATAATAGTACTTGTATGCTACCCTATATTGGCTTTGACTTGGTGTAAAGTGGCTCAGAAATGATGATTTATTATTGAAAAAATAAAATCTAAGATAATACTAAATGCATTCCATTACTTCGGACACAACTTTTAGAATTGGCAACACAGTCAATCTTGGAAAAAGCAAAGCAGGATAAGACATTATTAATATTTAAATGGGAAACCATTAGTAAATTCCAAAGCTGTAGTGTGGAGTACAGTAAAATATTCTGGAAGAAGGTAGTGGCAAACTACTTTCATACTGCTGCCAAAATGATTTAATGGGTATGTTCATATGGTCATCCAGAATTGAATTCAGGGAGGCTTTACTAAACTACTTGGTGAAGAGATCCAGCTTTCTCACCTTAACAATAACAGCTTTGCGTCCAGAGTAGCGTCCAGCCAAAACAAGAACGACCTTACCAGGTTTCATAAACTTGCCCATCTCTGAGTAGAACAGCAAAGAAAAACTTAAAAATGCAATCACATACATATCACATCATTATTTGAAAAATCAAACATTTTCTTACCATTAAGTCTATCTATAAAATATGATTGATATATAAGTATGGTTTTATCTGAGAGTGAGACATCCAGAATTTAAACGCAATTTTTTTTATCTTAGCAATGAGAGGAATGATCAACGACGGTTGGAAGTTTGATTACCAACAGGGTTAAGTTAATCCGGTAGACCCGAGAGCCAAGGAATTAGTAAGGGCAATGCCGGCCCACAATAGTTCTTTATTTTTATTTAAAAACACACAAAACATTTATTCTAGACGGCGACAACTTTACCATGAACGCTTAAGAAAAACATCAGCCCTTAAGAGAATATATTTCCTTCTCTAGTGCCGGCACATCCCAGACCACGAGAAACGAAGCTCCCTATCATAGCTACTCACTGCATCTTTATATTTCTAAACCTCCCATACTGTCGTTTATTCTTTAGCTGCCTCACCAACCTGACTTTCCAGACTGTTTGACAGGATTACAACAGATTGTACCACAGCCACTACGCCAACCTTACCGAATATACTTCGTCTATGGGACGAAACCGGAAAAGGAGAGCATGCAACTTCCGCCGACCTTTCACCCTACTGAACACACTGCGCATGCGCGCTTTCATTCAGCGGTTACGCGGATGATTGATTTGGATTTACGTTACCTGAGTATTTGAAAAGCAATCTCTTTCGTCTCTTTTCTAAGATTGAAATTTATCTTTAGAAAATAATTAAGAAATCCAGGATCTAAGAGTAGTTTTGCAATTGTGTATTTAGCTTAGTATGTTTATTACCTAGTCCAGGGGTAGGCAACCTTGGCTCTTTTATGACTCGTGGACTTCAACTCCCAGAATTCCTGAGCCAGCATGGCTCAGCTTGGAAACTTCTCCCTTTCCCCTCAGCAGGGCTGGCTCAGGAATTCTGGGAGTTGAAGTCCACGAGTCATAAAAGAGTCAAGGTTGCCTATCCCTGACCTTGTCTATCCTGAAGTGATGATAGTAAACTCAGTAATTCCTCTGCCATTCTTTTCTCTCATACTTTGTGTAAACGTTATCGTTCGAATTAAGCATTTAAAAGCAGAAAATCAGATTTCGAGAATAGCCAAATGTAGAATGACAATTGATTCCATTTGTTAATATTTTTTTTTTTAAAAACCATGGTAATACAAACCAGCGTCAGGTAACTCAGGAGCTCATTTCCCCCCTTTTCATATTGTATGTTAGAGTTAGTGCAGCGTAAATAGTACAATCAATTTAACATTTCCTAAACACTTTTGCCATAGAAAAAAGGCAACCCTAACCCTATTGGCTCAAAAACAATTTAGAAACTTGTTGAGCAGTGTTGGGGATAATAGATGATAATAGCCTATCAGTCAGAGAAGGCTGAGCTAACGTGATTATGCTTAGTAATTATTTTGTTTATTTTTTGCCAAAGCAAGACATTTTCATTGTTCTGGAATGATTTGCACTTAAGTCATTTCTGAAGTAAACTCAAGAATGATGTTTAAATGTTGGATGTACCTTCTATGTTGAAATATATATTTAAGTATGCAAATCATTATAATTTGTATATTAAAAGTAAACCTTTTGCTTCAACAGTTTTTAGATAACCTTTATTGTCAATTTTTACTGTGAGCACATTGGCATACATTGAAAATTAAATTTAGTTACTTGCTCTCAAAGTGTACACATGCATAACACGTTAAACATGCCATATACAGTGTATGTATAAACCTATACCCTTACGTATAAATAACATATAAATATTAATCACTGTCCATCTTGAATATATAATGGAAATTGGAAGCTTTAAAGTTCACAAGGTTAATACTGTATGGAACGAAAATGAATCTGGATGTTCCGCTTTCGATACTATGAAGCCTCCTCCCAGAAGGTAACAAGGAAAATAGGTCATGAAGAGGATGTGTAGTGTCCCAGACAATCTTGAGGACCCTGTTCAAGCAGTGCTTATATGCTGTCCTGGATGGGAGGGAGGGAACTGCCAATGATCTTTTCTGCCATTCTCACAACTCTCTGCACTGCCTTCCTGTCTGAAGCAGTGATGCTTCCAAACCAGACTGTAATGCTGTATGACAGGATGCTCTCGATCGTCCCTCTGTAGAAAGTGATAAAAGTCAGGGGAAGGAAGATGTACTTTTCTCATGTGAAAATGTTCTTTTACACAACTTGTGCAAAATACTAGCTGAAAAAATACATATTGTTATTTGTTGTACAGAGCATCTGAAGGATAACTTTGTGGATCGGCAGTCTAACATCCATTTCCCATTTGTTTCCCTGTCTCTATTCAAATTGCTAAGGATTACTTAGCAATCTTTTCTACGAATCCTCTTATATAGCCAACAGAAAATTCCCTTATTTGAAATATTGGAAACCACTCAACTCTTTTTCACCCATGGCCCCCTTCTAATCTTTTTTCTCCTGTGTATTTCTGTCCAGCTTCTATTATTAGATATGGGCATGGGGCAGAAACTGGTGTATTATTTGGTGTCAATAAGAAAATATTTG